AATAAAAGAAATAACGAAAATAAAAGAAATAACGAGGTTGAGGGTCGATTACCCGTTTTGGCAACCTCTATAATGCGTGATCGTCATTCTCAATTTCTAAGCCATATCGTCGATCGTCGTTTCCCCGTAACAGTACAAATAAAAAATTATAATTTAAAATTTTTGAAAAATAATCAAAATATTATATTTAAATAATAATAAATTTTTTTATTAAAAAAAATAAATTCAAAAAGTAAAATTTATATTTTTTTATAATTCTTGTTATTAAGTATTAAAATAATAATATTTTTTATAAAAATTAATTTCAACTTGTAATTGATTAATAATAAATAATTTTTTTATTATTTGAATTAATTTGTTATAATTTTATTTTTGTATTTTTTTAAAATTTAAAAATAAAGTTTATAAAATTTATTTAAACCTAATGTTAAATTTAAATATTGATTTTTTAATTTAAAACAAATAAATTATTATATTTTTATATTAATAATTTACTGATAAACAAGAATTTTATAAAATAAAATTTAAAAGATGAGATATATCTTTAATAATTAGGTACAGTATATTAAATAATTGATTATTGAATTTTTTTAGAATAATAGAAAATTGTTTATTATTAAAATTATTAAAATTAAAATTGATATTTTTAATTTAAATTTATTATACAAATTAATAATTAATAATAAAATATTAAATTTATATTTTGTAAAAATAATATTATAACTGATTTTAATATTATTTATAACTTGTGTAATTTTTAAATTATTTTGTAAATTAAAAAAATAGGCTTTTCAATATATGGATTTTTTAAAAAATAATTATATACAGTATATACAATAATTGTTTTGGAAAATTACAAATAATTATAAAACAGTATTATAAAAAATCGATACAATAAAACTTTTTTGTAATAAGAAATAAGAATTAAAAAATATAAAATATAAATATAAAAATTAATAAACAAAAAGTTGTTTTTTTTTCAAGATTTAAAAAAATTATTATAAAATAAAGATTTTGAAATTCAAAAAATAATAACAATATCATTACATAATTTTTTTAATATATATAAAATTTATAATTTAAACTTCAAAATTAATACTTATTTATCAAATAATCTAATGTATTAATAAAGATATCAATATTAAACCTTTAAAATTTAGAGTTTAAAAATTCAAAATTCAAAAATCTAATAATAATCTTATTACATAATTATATTGATAATTAATCATTCGATATTAACAAGCATTTTTTTATATATAAAATTCATGATCTAAGCTTCAAAATGAATATTAATTTATCAAATAATATTATATATTGATAGAGATATTAATATTTTAATATTTGTAAAAATTTAAAACTCGGAAATTTAAATCAATTAAAAATCACCTGATTAATCAATATAAAATTTAAGGTTATATTTTACCTTCAAAAATAATTACCCATGTATTATAAAGTAATGGCCTGATCAAACATTTATATCGCACTTGGACATCTCTTACATAAACAAATTTTCATTTTCTTGGTAAAAGTGATCGGTGTTACAAATTGTAATGCACGTGTAATTTTTTATTCCGAAAATACAAATAAATCAAGACATATTTCTTGTAGTTAAAATAAATGGAACACTATTTGTTTTTAAATTTAACATACAAATTTTTGGATTCGTTGACTAAAGATTTTTGTTTTGGTTCAAAATAAGTTTCTCGGGTATAATTGATTTTGCAGTGATTTGACTTTTCAATATTTTCGGAATGTAGATCGTTTGAATTCTGAAGTAAATGTTTTGCTTTTTGATGACTTTCTCCTATTATCCATTGAGTTCTCCATAAGCATTTTTATAATGCTAAGCGTAGGACTTCAAAAAAGATCAAATTTGCCTACCTTAAAATAATAAAAAACCTCTAATGTTTGTCTTAAGACACTTATACTACAAATCTGTGCGGAAAATCTAAAAGCTGGTCCATCAAATCCAAAATAAAGTCCTTTATCCAATAAACCAATTCCAATTAATTGACCTTCCAAAGCCAAAACATATATTATTAGAGACGTAAAAATGATAAATTCTAAGAAATAATGATGTTGTGATCTTACCTACCAACTGTAACCAACTTGCTGTCCACTCGATCTATTTAGACGTTGTTCTACTTTAAATGAATCTATTTCAATACTTTCGCAAACATGCCCATTTCAACTAACTTGAGATAGAGTCTTTAGCCATAACTAATTTTTCGAATTTTTTGATGTTCTTAAGTTCCATTTGTATAGTAACATGTTCCCACCATTCAGAAACGTTACTCGGAATTTTAGTCTCAAAATAAAAAATGGAAAAGAATCAGTTTAGTTTAACATTATGTAACAATTTAATTTACGACACCACTTTAACTTTACAAAAAACTTGTAAAGTGGTTGTATGCTTAGGACGGCTATCCAATATGGAGCTAACCATGCCTCTGTAACGTGTGGCTACAAGAGATGTCCTGAACCTGAACTTCCATTAAGGCCTGTTCAGTTACATTTACTGCATGCTCAAGACGGCTATCCAATATGGAGCTAGCCATGTCTCTATAACGTGTGGCTATAGAGATGTCTTGTGCCTGAACTTCCATTAAGGCCTGTTCAGTTGCAGCTCACTTCTTTTATCTGACACAAATAAACTTACCAAATTTTTTCGTTGATAATTTATAGACATTAATGCAATTTTGGCAAAAGATTTCAACTGGTCCTGATCATTGGTTATCGCCTGTTCCAAAAAGGCTCTTACACTGAGATCTGACAATTTCTAGAGATTTCTTATATAGACCATGCCATTTTCCTTTTCGTTCTTGGATTGGTAATTTGTGTGAACTAGTTTATACTTCTTTTCATTCAGCCATTTAAGGAAGTCAAGCTCTTTCCGTTCGTTTGACTTTCTTTCAATAAAGTATTCAGAAAAATTTGTAAATGTGAATGTGAACACAATCAGAATAACTGTAAATGATGTATAAATGATAAAGCTTTTAGACATACCAAAGGCTTCTTTTGAGAATAACTCTTCCACAGAGTTTGTCATTTTAGTGGAGCGGTTGATTTAATGAACGCGTAAAAAGTTAATCTCTAATTGATCGATTTTATCAGTCTGTTTTTTTATAGAAGGATCGAGTGTAACGTAAACAGCGTAATTCATTAAATAGAATTTTTAGGGATTGGCATTCATGAGATACTTTCGACACTTAATTTCGAAAGTTTCCCGTAAGGAAACTTAACTCATGAGACATAGTGCGACAGTTCAGAAAGATAAATGCTATACCATGCGTAGGCTTAAACCGGGGTGGAAAATAAACCCGAAAATAATCTCGTTTATAAAGTTCGCCCGTCGTTCTACTTATGGCACTGGTAAGATATCGCTAGAGGATTTTGCACTTTGGTTCAAGATAATAACAATAATAATAATGATGATAATGGTCATAATAATAATAATAATGATCGTTATAATAATGGCAGTAATAAAAATAAAAACGATTATAATAATTATTACTATAATCACTTGCTTTTAAATAGAACCCGTAAAATTTAGTTAATTTAAATCGACTTATTTAATTAAAGCGAAAATTAATTAACACTCACACGTCTAAAAAAATTCGAGAGTTAACCCGATGAATACTTACCAGGCTCGCGTAACAAGAATCCATCATGCCATTCGATCGATCTCATTTACCTGCCCGCTTAATCGTTTATGGTTTCATTATTCCCAAATATTATACTGGCCTAAATTTCAACATTTTATAGAGACTCCCGTATCCTTTAAGATTATTAATATCGCATCTTTAGGTGGTGGGTCGTCAGGTTTCATAGACATTCGCATTAGGGAGCATATGCGCCATTCTATGCTAGCATTAAGTCATGCGTATTACGAGTCACGATTATTCCATGTGACTTAATGTCACTTCCGGGTTTCTAACCCGCTTTAATTGGCTGGTATTTTAGAGTTACATTCTAAAGATATGTAGGAATACTTACACTATGGTGATATCCAAGAGGCGGAAGCACGCGACAGGGTTCTTTCATTTGACTGGAGAAAGGAGATGATTGAGGAAGCGGGTGATGAGCCACTTAGGAGAGATGATGAATTATCTGGTAGTGATGATGAATGATGATGAGACTAAAGTATTTAGGAAAGAGTTTGAAAACCCGATTCCTATTACTTCTGGTCATAATATTAAATTCGCACAGTGCATCGTTATCGACAATGATAATGATCAACATGCAATTAGAAGATGCAATAAAGCGGGAGTTCGTTATGTGGAGCGACTGTCCGGTACGTGGGAAATTGATTCAAGAAGTTGGAAATGATATTTTAAAGGCATTTGTCTGTGTCACCTCAACTATTATCGAAACACTATACACAAACCTAGGTCTAATTCAATAAGGCACATAAAGGCAGTATAATCAACCGAAGAAAGCATTGTTACCTCACGTCGCTGTTTATTTTGCTATAGATACAAATGCTTTTTAACAAGGGGCAAAGCACGCGCATTACACATGTGGAAAGTGTGTGAACGTATAATTCTGTGGGTTGTTTTTTGTCCAGCACTTACAGAATATGATAAGCTGTCAACAAAACTGTATACTAACAATAAAAATCCTTGTGAAAATGAAACTGCAAAAGTTGGTTTATTAAAAAAACTCATCAAAATTCTTGATAACGTTACAACAGACATATCTAAACACAGGATGCTATTCGTATATCTTCTACCATCTCACCAATTCCTAGTATCTTTCTAATTAAAATAATATTCACAATCAAAAAAATTAAAATCAACGAGGCAAGAATGCTACCATTGAAAACCACCAAATGTATAGACTTCAGAAAAAAACTTGCCCACTCTATATTACAAGAGCAATCTAAGCTTAGGAGGTCACAATTACTCGAAGAGCCAGAGTCCTTGGAAGAATATTATAATGCCATGCCATCGCCCCCTTATGAATTTTTTTAATGGCTTAATTTCAGTTATAAAAAAGAAGAAAATACAATTATTAATTAAAGCAAAGAAAGAAAAACATGTTTCCACTACAATTGGACGAAAAAAAAAATTATTTTGCCTTTTCTTTTTTTCACTTCTGTAATACTTACTATTGCCTTTTTCCATCAAAAAATCTGGCTTACACATATATTTTCTTTCATATGTTAGTTATCAAAAGTGATAGAATCTTTGTACAAGATTTTTTATATGGTTTAAATTATATCATATATCAGGGATCGTGAAATACATGTTCAAAAAAAAGAGTATCAACGATAGAACCTTGGTTAAGACTTAATTTGTATCCAAATGTTTTAAGCATTGCAGCTATAGACAATATTGACATAAGAAATGAAACCTTCAAATATGAAAATGTTTTTGATATAACTTGAACTACTGTGAATACAACATTACAAATGGTTTTTCAGTTTCAATATTTAGAACTTGTTAATTCAAACAGAGAATCAATAAAAACCAGAACTTTTTTGGCTTAAGTTCTATTATGGATGAATAACAAACAAAAATAAATATAATTTTTAATCAACTAATTAATATAAAGTCAATATTTAATATCAAATATATTAATACTGCTATTAGAAAAAATATTAATATGATATTTTTTATAATACCTTCAAAAATTATAATTTTTGAACCAAAAGAGACTCTAAATAAAATAAATATATTTATTAGACTGTTAATATGTTTTGAAAAATTTTCAACTATATAAAAAATAATATTTTAAATTTAATCTATAATAAAGCAATCTATTATTACATTAAAGATTACAAAAATAATAAACAGTCATTATATTATATTTTAAAATAATAATATACAAATAAAAAAATATGTAATATAATAATTGTTACTTTTCAAACTATAGACTTTTAAATTTTTATATAATTTAATATTATATTTTTTAATAAACTTGAACAGATTATTAACTATTGAACAATATTTTAAGTACTTAAGTTTATTTAAATAGCAATAAAAGTTATAATTTATCTATATATCAAAAAAATAAATATTTCTATCAAAGATATATTTAATAAATATAATAATCTTTTATAAATATAATATAATTTTTATCAATAATCAAAATATTTAAGTTATATAAACCTGATATTCATATAATAGACTTTAATTTGTAAATATATAGCTTAATTATATTTATATTATTATTTTCTATTATAAGAAAAAAAGATATATTAAATTTGTAATATAATTTATATCAATTCTTTAAAACAACTTGTAATTTTTTTAAAATTTTTAGTTGAAATTTTTTATTAATTTGATATTAAAAAAATATTATTTTGCTTTTAAAAAAACTTTATAAATCTTTAAAATTAAGTTTATAAAAAATATAATTAATCAAATAACAAATTTTAAAATTTTAAAATAAAATATTAAAATAGTACAAGCAAAATATCATTAAATAAATTTGTTAATTTCAAAGTTTATTAAAAATTGATTATTAAATAAAACTTTATAATTTACAAAAAGTATTCATATTATTATAAACACTTTTTATTATACAATAAAATAAATTAATAAGCAAAAAAAAAATTTTATTATACTAAATAAATATTTTTATAATATATTAAAATATATTATATTTAAATTTCATGTGATTGTAATAATTCACTTGAAATTTATAATCAAAAATCTTCATGCTACAAATTATAATCAAATTGAAATTACAAATCAAACAAAAATCTCTTTTTTTAAAAAAATAAAAATCAATATTAAGTCTTAATACTTTGTAAAGCCTCTGTTAACAGCAATACAAATTGCAATACAATCTGATATACTATCCACTAATCGATGACAAATTTCTAATGAAACATTTCACCAGGCTTGTTTAACGAGAATTTTAAAATCAGCAAAGTTATTAAGCTTTGGCTTGCAACACAAACATCTTAATCTCATGTCAGAAATTCTCAATGGAATTTAGATCAGGGCTCTGAATAGGCCAGTCTAATGTCTTAATCTTGTAATCTTCAAAAAAATATAGTAATAATTTTTAAAATATGAAGTTTTATATTATCTTGCTAAAATAAAAAATGATTATAATTTGTATTTTCTGAATATTTTTTTAAGATGGATATGATATATTTGTATAAAATCTTAACATATGAAGTCTCAATAACATTATTAACTAATAGAAATATATAAAACTCTTTCTGCTAATTCTTTTGCCAATCCAAAAAACAGATATTCTCAAAAGACTTTTTTGTCTTTATGATAATAAAATCTATATACTTTCCTTAACAACACTGGTTCCCTAATCAACAGAGCGAGCAGAAGCTATCACTTGTTTTATTTTTCTTTTTCAAAACACTTTTTATGTTTATTTTGACAACTAAATACAAGAAACTTACCTAAAAGATCTACAGTAAGAACACCTTTCTAGGAAAAAAACTGATAAGAAAAAACACACTCCAAAGACTTCCAAAAGATTTAAGAATCCAGAGAAACAAGAACAAAGAAGTCTTCAGTCTTTTCATCATTTCTTTGACTTCTCTTTTCTTTTTTCTCAAGTATGCTTCCTTTTTTCTGATTTTTCTGAAGAATTTTGCCTATTTCAGTTTAACCTTAAATTTTTGATTATACTGGATCTCTTGAAAAATAATTGGTCAAGGCCACAGATTGGTTGATCATGTCAGCCTCAGAAAAGTAAACAAGACATGTACTCCTCACGTGTTTCTAGTCACGCAATACCAAACTGATAATGTAATTAGTTCCTGAAAGAGTTGAATAGTTTTTAGTTAAAGGAGTAGTATGAAAGTATTAGGTGAAATTAAAGTTGTGAGTAAAAGAGAAGTGATCTTTTTTTGTTCCAATTTTTTTATTTTCTTTTTTGTTCCTTATTTTTTCTTGAGGACAGGAAGTAGCAACAAGGTCTAGGTCCTATCCCAATCAGGTAACAAGTTGAAGTATTAATATTTATTCTGAAAATGGTTAAAAAAAGAGATCTTGAAACTATTCACTAGTTAAGTAAAGCAATAATTCCAGAAGACATGACTTGAAAGAGCAATCAACAATAGAAAACCAA